GTTTAGATAGAATTTTCATAAAATTTTAAACTATAAAAATGGATTTTAACACTTAATAATTCAAGCTGTTTTATAGCTCTTAATAATACCAAGGATTCCTAGAATTATTTTTATCATTTGGTCAACATTTTGCCCTTTATTTTTTTTCCTCTCCCTACTTTGTTTAAATAGAATGTTACACGTAAAAGTTGAATGCTGAAAGTTGGCACACCATCTTATTTTTAGGTAATGTTTATGTTGCATTATTTTCACCCTGGAAATCTTGGCTTTAAGGAAGTGGAACATTTATCTTTAGGTGTATTCTCAGTTCTTCCTTAGGTTTTATTTCTGCCCCTTTCTATTTGAGAGAAATGAATCTATAGTTCAGTTCTAGAAACCATCTTTTTAAAAAAATATATATATATTTATTGGTACATTTTAGGTATAAAATACATTTACATTTATCATTGGGTGTTTGTACCAGAATATGATGTATCTTAGTTTTTATTTTTTCTCCCATTACCTGTGCACCCTTCACCCCCTCCACCCTTCCCTATCTACACAGAGTTTGATTCCATTTTTTTTCTCATAATTTTTCCTTTCCCTTCTTCCTTTTCCCCTTTTCCTTCTACCATTCCCAAACCCTTGGACCTTTTCCTATTTCAAATTATCAATTATTCATTTTAATCATTTTCATCCTTATTTACACTTTCAATTTCTCACACTAGAGAAACTATTCGGTATTTACACATGTGTCCTATTTATTTCACTTAAGAGTATGGCCTCAATATGCATCCATTTAGCTATAAATGTCTCTAGTTTCTCATTCTTTATGGCTGAGTAGTACTCCATTTTATTAAAAAAACACATTTTTTATCCAGTTTCCAGTTGATGGGCACTTGAGCTGTTTCCAAGCTTTAGCTATTACAAACTGTGCCGCTATGAACATGGGTGCACATATATCACTGTGGTATGATTCTTATAATTCTTTGGGGAAGATACCAAGCAGGGGAATAGCTGGGTCAAATGGGACCTCTAGTCCTAGTTCTTTGAGGTATCTCCATACTGATTTCAACAGTGGTTGCACCAGTCTGTACTCCCACCAACAATGGAGAAAGGTTCCTTTTTCCCCATGCCCCCGCCAACATTTGTTATTGGTTGATTTCTTGATAGCAACCATTCTTTGTGGGGTGAGGTGGAATCTCAGTGTTGTTTTCATCTGCATCTCTCAAATGACCAGTGATGTTGAACATTTTTTCATATATTTATTTGCTGTTTTTACTTCTTTCTCTGAGAAATGTCTGTTCATTTCAGATGCCCATTTTTGAATTGGGTCTTTGAATTTGGGAGGTCTGATTTTTTTCAGTTCTTTATATATTCTTGATAGTAGACCTTTGTCTGAGCTACAGCTGCTAAATATTTCTTCCCACATTGTAAGTTGTCTCTTAGCTCTGTTGGTAGTTTCTCTTGCAGTGCAGAAGCTTTTTAATATGATGAGATCCCATTTGTTGATTCTTTGTGCTAGCTCCCATGCTACTGAAGATTTGTTCATAAAGTCTTTTCCTACGCCAATGTCATCAAGAGTTCTACCTAACTTATCTTCCAGCATATTTCATGTTTCTGACTTAATATTTAGATCTTTAATCCACTTTGATCTTAGTTTAGTGCACGGTGATAGGCATGGGTCTAGTTTTAATCTCTGACAGGTTGAAATTCAGTTTTTCCAACACCATTTATTAAATAGGCTATCTTTTCTCCAGTGAGGGTGGTTGGCTCCTTTGTCAAAGATGAGGTAACTGAATATGTCTGGAGTTGTTTCTGCATCTTCTAATCTATTTCACTGATCTTTGGGTCTGTTTCTTTGCCAGTACCATGCTGTTTTTATCACAGTAGCTTTGTAGTATTCTAGAAACCATCTTTTGGTGACTTTGTAAAAAGACTAGGAAATAGAGGCCTGCAAGAACATAAAGGAGAAGGAGAAAGAATGTAAAGGTAGTGAGAGAGGTGCTACACCATTACAGATTTAAAGGGAAAACATTGCAGAACAATTAAGTATTAAAACTGTTTCTCTATTGCAGTGTTAACTATCTTCTGGTTCATTTTATAGTTCAGTTCATGAGTTTCTCTTATCATCATAAGCAAAAACACAGGAGAATTAGCTTAGTGATAGTGACAATTGATATTTATTGGGTTAGTTTCCATTCTGTATACTTCATTATATATCCTAATTGCCTTGTATGTGCTATATTATTTCTTAGACATCTTTGCATCCCCAAATGTGTAGCATAATGTCTAACATATATTAAGAATACAATAAATATCTTTCCAATTATCTGTGGTAAGGAATCAGATGTACCCACAATGCAGAACATTGACATAAAAAAGTCATGTTATTATATAATGTAAGAGGCTCTGACCAAACCATATGACCAAATGTATGCTAGTAAAATTAGAACTGGTGCTTAAGAACATTTTAGAAATGCATGATTAAAATGTGTTAAAGCAGTTGTTTTTTGAGACACTTAACACACTAGCTAGTGAACACTTTGTTATTTGTCTGCTTAATCAGGAGCTTTATGCTGTAGCGGTTAAGAGCGTGGAGCATGGAGCATGGAGCCCAACTATAACCACCACTTAATAACAGTGTGACCTTAAGTCAGGCATTGAACCTCTGGAGACCTCCATTTCCTCATCTGTAAAATCAAAATAATAAATTGTTGTAGGAGTTTAAATGATTTTGTGCACGCAAAATGCTTATTATACTCCCGGGCTCATCTTATGGGTTGTGTAAGGGTCATTTAATAAAGTAGCACATCCTGCAGCAGCAATTCTCTGACTTTAGCAAACATCAGAATCACCTAGGACTTGTTAGAACACAAATTTCTGGGCCCTTCCCCTGAGATTCTGACTCAGATTTGTGCCAAAATTGTGGAATTTGCATTTCTAAGACATTCCAAAGGGTTGCTAATCCTACTAGCCTGTGTGTGTGGACAACGAATGGCCCAGAGCAGTGGCTTTCAAAGTATAGAGTGCTTTGTTTTGTTTTTAACTTGTTTGTTTGGTTTATTTCAATATATCATAAGACTGCAGGGCTTTGGTAAAATACAATAAATATTAATCACCAAAAAATTGAAATGAAAAAAAGAAATAAATGGTAATTTCTGTTCTTTGAGTTTTCTGGCTGGTTTGTTTCTAGAAAATGGGAATTTTCTGTTCATACCTTAGAAGAAGGAAAAATTTAACATAGCTATTGAAGTGAATGTGTGCACTTAATATTTCATATTAGGCAAGTCCTGTCTGTATTTTAGTAATCCTTTCTAATGGGGATCGAGGTATAACCTATTCTCATTTTCCTGGACAAAGATGTAACTATCTTTGAGCACTAGTATTCTATGTATGACACCAAAAATCACTAATTTGAATTCATAGTATTGTTCATATGATCCCCATCTAACTAGAGTCACCATAAAGCTCTAAGTCTAATATCCAAAGCTTTGTTTCCAGTATAATCATAAAATGTGTTTTATTCTGCCTATACTGTAAATCTATGTTACAGAAAATTTTACTGTCCTACTCAAGGTTTACTTGTTTTTCCCTAATTCATTTCCAACATCATTTAAAAATTAAGAAAGTTCACATACAAGGCCATTTTCCTCCTTGGCTATAAATACTGAACCTTCATTCCCTCAATGCCAGCCATACCCAGTGAGAATTGTGCTATGGATTCTAGTTTTCCCAGCTCTCCCTCACCCACTTTATTCACGTAAAGGAAAACACTGCTTGGTTTTTCAACACATGGTGTTGATATTTTGCTGCCCCCCATACTGAAAGTTTTGACAAGAAAAAGGGAAAGTGTTTTTATTCTTATGCCTGCTTGTAACACCCATTCAAGAATAAAACTGCCTTTGAAGTAAGAAGTTACTTCTTGAGTTCCCAGTGCAAAATAAACCCAAAAATTAAACATAAAATTAAAGTGGCAGTGCAATATTTATTTAAAAGCTCAAAAAGGAAGGAATAAAAGCAATTATTAGATGGTAGTATTAGTGCTACCATGGAATGGGCCAGTAAGTCCATAAGTTCTCAAAGCTTTACTTACCCTTCCCCTCTAGCACTTCACTTCCCCATCCTCAAAGTCTCTTCCTGTCTCCATAAGGTCTTCCACCCTGTTGGGTCTCACTTATATGAAAAACCCAAAATATAAATAAAGAGCAAGATAAAAAAGAAATGATAAGAAAGGGAATAGGAACTGTTAAAAGCCAAATTTTATTCTGAAAAAAGAAATATGGAAGTGGATAGCCCCAAGCCAAATGTTATTTCATGGTTACAGAAACCCTGGGAGGACTTCACTTCCCTCTAAGCCCTCCACCTTTCACTCACCTTATCTATGGATTAGGCTCTTGACCTGTAGCAGAAAACAGTCACAGGGCACATCAGTGAGAGGCATGGACAGATTTTATTAGGCAGAGTTAAAGAGATACACACTCAAAAAAGTGTGGGCCCTCAAAAGAGAGGCACTTTGCAGTCTGGGGTTGGGTGATTTATGTAGTCAGTCAAGGAAGGTGATCCAGGGTGTATATCACAGGACCTGAGGTCACTCATTAGTCGGCTAGGTTGGAATGCAAACCATCTACATGTGTTTAAAGTTTGGAGGTAACCACTTAATAGTGGTGTTTCCTTGAGGATGGAAGTCTGTGGGATTTGAGAATCTGTTAGCATTGGTCCCCAACCTTCTTTTCCGCAGGGACCAATTTCAAGAAAGACAATTTTCCCACAGATTTGAGGAGGTGGTGGGATTAGATTGTCATAAAGAGCTTGGTATAGATCCTGTGCAAACAGTTCACGGTAGCACTCTCTTTCTCTGAGAATCCAACGCTGCACCTGGTCTGACAGGAAGTGGAGTTCAGGCTGTGGCCCAGGGGTTGGGGACCCTTGGTCTATAGTGCTGATACCAGTTTTGAGGTCCCACAGATTCTTTCCAGGTGTTTGGTCTCCTGAACAAAGAATTAGGCGAGACATGTAGAAAAGGTAGTGAGGCTCTCCATTTATTGAGGGTGGAATAGAAATACATTCTGCATAGTGAGAACAGGCCACCGAGAAGTGACCAAAAAGTACACTGTGCAAAGTGTCAGTAGCCAGCTGAGAAAGCTCACAGGACCACACGGTTAATGGGAGGGCTCTTGTTTTGGTACTGGGGATCGAACTTGGGACCTTGCACTTTCGAGGCAAGTAGCGGTTGTATCTCCTCTTTCTAAACTGCTTCTCTCCCATTGCAAACAAAGCACTTGGGACAGTTGTCATATCAGAAGTTCACTTGGCCTGACATCAGATCTAAGCCTACCAAAGGCCCATTTAGTTTTGTACCAGGTGGAGAAGAAGAATCGAAGACAGTGCTTTCTAGTCCTGGGAGCAGGGTTTGTTATTCTGCTCGGTGTTCTGGATCTCCGTCAGGGGACAGGTCATGTCCAGTCTCCCATCTCAGTATCACAGAAAATGCACAGGTTCCATTTATAGGTAAAAATAATGAGGCCAAATTTATAATCTTCTTGTATCTTGAATACTTTTAGGAATTTAGGAGTGAGTTTCTTGGAAGAGAAAAACAGCATTGTAGCCTTGGATAACTTTATATCCTGAATGAAGCTTCAGTGTTCTCAAAAGTATAACTGTAAAATTAGGATTTTCTTTGTCTACTTTCTACCTGTATTTATTTCTTTTATCCTACTGTACAACTATGACTCTTTAAGGAAGAGGCACAAAAAAGAGTGAATGAGAAGGGAAAAGTATGCTTTTCTTCTAGCTAACCTCACTGACCAGAATTTAATCACAAGATCATTCCCAGCTTCACGAGAGACAGGGAAATAATCACTATCTAGGGGACCCTGAACCTGTCAGAAAAGCTGGGGCTTTTTTCCATAAGGGAGAAGGGAATTATGCATATTCTGAAATCTATTTCTGCCATGTAAGTAGTTTTTATTTTCTTCTAGTTGTTTATTTGTATTTTTGTCATTTCTACAATGCATAATATATGATATCTTTATAAAAAGAAAAAAAAAGATAAAGAAGTCCTATCTCTGACTTTACTTAGCCATAATTGTAGAGGAGAAAATTAAAGTTGCTGAGGTACTGATTATACAACTCACAATATAGATTTTGTTTTGTGGAAAACTGCCTATCGCTATTAATTGTAATCTTTATATAGCTTTTCTTTCTGTTTCTTTCACTGGCTTGAAAAGAAAGTAATTATGTAATAGACGTGATTCAGGCATAAAAGAAAGTGCTTATTTAATCTAGGAGGCTATTAGATAACTACTAAAGAGGGATTCACCTAAGATGGGTTTTCTAATATGGTCCCCCACCCCCGCTGACAGCTCACTTTCTTTTAGAATGCTCCAATTTCAGTGGTTCAAAACCTTTGGAAGTTATTTTAAGCAATAGTGTAGGCACACTAAGTATAGTGTGTTAAACCTGGTGGGAATAAAAAGAAACATGGTTTCACTCTGCTTCATTCTCTTTGTTATAGGTTTTGTTTTTAGCGAAAGATAGTATTTCTGCAAATTATAATTTTAATGTATAACAAAATGCTTAGAAGAAGGAGAAGGAACTAAAGCTTTTAATGTAGCTGAAATCCTAATTTGGAGGGAAAATAATGAAACAAGATATGTTCTTCCAAATGAGTTTTTAAAGTGGAAAAAGACAAATACCTACTGAAATGTCTGCCTATCCAGACATTAGGGATATCTGAAATAGAAGAGTTGGGAAAGAAGTTTAAACAAGCTGTAATTGTAAAACTATAGAAATCTTACTGGGGCTTGAGCTAGCACCAATTTTTGGCAAGGGGTAATTCTAATCATATATTCTCATCTTTTACCTATATTTCAATTTACATCCCAATTTTTCTTCAAGTAGAAAAGTAGATGGCAGGGATAAGGTTTCATACTGCAGAGTGTCAGTAGGAATTTAAAACATATTAAGAAGATTTGCATTCTTGTTGTGGGAGGCTAAGGTCTGTACTGCCCATTACTCCCCCAGATAAAAACATGTGAGATAAATTTTGGTGAAAAGAAAAGGATTTTTAAAAAGCTAGCTCCAGGGCCGGGGATTTAGCTCAGTGGTGCCGCTGCCTGCCCCACAAGCACAAGGACCCTAGTCTGATCCCTGGGACCAAAAAAAAACCGGGGGTGGTGGGGCTCTTTTTGCCTCAAGTCCCTATCTCCCAGCATTCTGGTATGCAAAGGCTTGTAGGGAAGAGCAGTAAGGATTGCGGAGAGGCCGCAGACAAGGGAATCCCCATGCTGGTTCATCTCCTGGCCATTCTGAGCTCTCTTCCCTCCTTGCCAAAAGAAACTGGACCTTGAGCTCCTGGGGCCAGAATTTGCATGATTCTTTTCAGTTTGATGTGTTCTTCTCTGGTGACAGCATCGCTTCTCTGCCCACTCGTCCAAGCTAAGGATGGTCTGTCAGTTTGTATCTCACCATGGGGAAGGTGGAGAAGCAGCCTAGCTCTACAAAACAAAATGAAAGAAAAATTAACTTTTAAAGATTCATTTTAAGCCCTCAGTTACATTGTGAAAAACAACTTATAAGTTGTGTCTATAGGTATTATGGAGCATTGAGTGAAATACTAAGGTTTCTACCAATACAAGCATCTCATTCTCAAGTTCCTCTTTGAATAATGAGGCATCCACTTTTGGTCAGCCTGTGCCCACTTGTACCTTAACCTCTTCACCTGGTGGCTTCTCACCACCCTTAAAGCATTACCTTAAACTTTACATGGGCACCTTCCTTAAACTGCAGCTTCCTCAAACTTCATCCCTCTTTCTTTGCAGGTCTCTATCACACAGCTCTGTGAGATGTATGTCTTGATACATACAAGGTTACATGGAAAACAGTAGAGAGGGGGCAAATTCTTCAATGAATGCTAATGAGACAAGGGCTGCTGTGCGGAAACAATAAAATCATATCCTTACCTCACACCACACCACACACATACACACACAGTTAAAAACAAATTAGAGATATAAATATAAAAAATTAAACTGTTAGGAGAAAATATGGAAGACTATCTTCGCGACCTTCAAAAGATAAGAAGTAGTACATAGCCCCCCCCAAAAAAACCCAGAAAAGCACACTTATATTTTCAAAATTTAAAACTTCCCTATGTAGAAATACATATAGGCAAAGTAAAATTTATCAAAAGAAAATTTACAGACAAGGAAACCAATTGGATAGTACACATACAAATAGCGGCTCAACCTTGGGTGCAGTTCAGGAAATGCTGATTTGAGTGGTGATACCATTTCATATTCATCAGTGTGGAAGTAAGTGGAAATCTAAACTACTCTAGACTGGAATTCTCATTTATTTTGTTTGTATGCTGAGCTATTTTGCAATGAAAATTGTGAGTATTTGTACCAATTAAAATGTATATAAACACATTTTTATATGTATATTTATAAAATACATAAAACATATAATTCAAAATGATACTTCTACATATGTACTTTAGAGAAAGGTTCACTTTTTAAAAATAAGTAGATATATTTAAGGATGTTCACATTAAGAATTTATAGGGAGGTGCGTGGAGCATTGGGGTTTCCAGCTCTCACAGAACCTTCACCATCCCCAGCTGCCAGTCTTGGCATCTTCAAAGTAAGAAGAGGGCAGAGAAGCTGAGCTGGACCCAGCACCTGGAAGGAAGCTCCCCTGCCACCATTCCACACTCCTAGGGCAGAGAAGGTGAGCCCCGTGGGTGCCAGAAGCA